TGGTAACATGATAACCTAACTTGGTTTGAGCTTTAGTTTCACTTCCATTTGATAATTTTTCAATTTATAATTGAATTCTTAAGTTGAGGGTGTCTTGAGCTTACTCTTTGGTTGTTTTTGACCTAACTTCTTGAGTTGATTTCTTATGTGACCTAATGAATGTTTGTGAAAACTTGTGTGATTTATATGACATGTTTGAGTTTTTTCTTTGCATGATGTGATATCCATGGTATGATTATTTCCCATCTTTCTCTTCACATGAACTATCTGTCTTTGTTATGAATGTTTTGAGTGATGTTTGCCCAACTTTTTGAGCATGATGCTTATTTAACTTGTGTGATATCTCAAGAATGAATGTGATGTGGATCATTTGAGTGTGCTTATGACCTTGATGTTTTGATGTGCATTACTTGACCATTTATGCCTTGGACCATTCTTGTATACATGAAGATGATCATAGTTGGTGTTTGTCTAGTCTTGGTGCATGTTTTGAACTTGATGTTTGAGTTTTCTTTTTGTGATTTATATGCTAATGATGGGTTGATATACATGTTCATGTTTCTGCCCATTTGGATTCATGCCTTGAGTTTACATGTTTATTCTTGTGAGGTATGTTTGTTACATGTTTGTTTTGTGTGGCCATTGAGTGTGTTTCGATAAGATGTGTGCTTGACATTCTTGTGCTCATTTTCTAATCTTTGATTTGAATTGAACATTGTATGATGTTTCTACTGCCCTACCTTGTTTTATATCTCATTTGACTCTATCCTATCTTATTTGATGATTGATGATGTCTATTGTTGGACATTGAGCCACTTGTGTGTGTTTAGGTACCTTGTTTTGCCACTTTACTTTAACCTCTAATCCTTGAGTTTGGTTTGACATATATGCATCTTTATTTCACTTTGACATGATGTTGGTGTATGCTTTGTGTGTGTGCTTACTTTTGTGTTTACCTTGTCATTTGAATTGAACTTCCTTAAGAAGTTGCTTGTTGTTGCTTCTTCTCTTCCATCTCATTCTTCTGTTTCTTTTTCTTTTGCCTTGAGACTTGTTTAAGTCTTGAGTTTTGTTTCCATTTGTGATTGAATTGGATAGTGTTTACTTTTGTTTGCTCACATGATCCCTTAGGATTCCTAGTCCCTCTATTTAAGATGGGAGTAGGAGAGACATTAGGCTTTCAATCATTTGCATGATAATAATTAGGATAGTCCATTCATCTCAACTTTAGGACCACTTTGTATGATAACATTAGAGCTTTTAGTTTCTCTTTAGTGCTTTCTCTCTATGTCTTCTCTTCTCATCTCAAAAAATTCTAAGACACTTAATAAAGAATGATGAATGTTGTGTGCCACGAGTCTTAAGTACATGGGAAATGATGAGTGGGGGGTTTCTCCTCACTTGCCTAGAGTGTTTAGTGTATGCCCTTCGGGAGATATGCAATACATTCCCTCCTATGTCATAGTCTTTAGTGCGACGTAAATCTCAAACAAATTCAATTCACTTCTTTAAAAATCTTAAACTAAATTCAAACTTTTTTATCCTTCGAGATTGTGTTTCAAAACCATTTTCAGAAAAGTGTGCGTTATTTTTCCGTTTTACCGCAAACAGGCATTGACCTTAACTGCTGGAATGGGAACTTAACGTCGCTCATAAAAAACACTTAACCAACCAGTGGTCTATTTACCCAAACTACGTTTGCTCTGATTTCTCATACCAGATGAGGATACGTAGGCACAAGACGACGATGTCTTGGCGAGCAACCTTCTCCCCATCACCCATAGTTTTCCGAACTACGTTGACTCTGACTTTCCCATTGTACAAGGGAATACGTAGGCATAGGGCAGCGATGTTCTATCGAGTATCTTCTTTCTTTTCCCTCCCCTGTTTAGCAGTAGCTTTTAGATAACTCACTCCTTTGGTAGACAATAAGCGTGGATCCCGTTGAGTACAACAGACGTGAGGGGTGCTCATACCTTCCCCTTGCGTAACCGACTCCCGAACCCAATATTTGGTTGCAATGACCTTGTCTTTTCCCGTTCTTTCAGGTTTTCTTCGAGCGTTTCCTTTCCCTCTCTTTGAGATAAATAACGTTCGGTGGTGACTCTTCTGTTTGTTTCCGCCGATCCTTTTCGCAGTTGCGACAGTTGTGCATGCCCGTTTTGCCCGCACTTTAGTATGGGGCGGGCCAAGGGTTTAGCCCCTCACCTTCTAATGTGTCTGTCTGGTTCCACCCCATTTTCTTCGCAGGCTTTTACGAGTACGAGCATTTACATAAACTTTTACATTTTTAGGCTTAACATGTGCATTGCTTGCGAGCTTTCCCCGCCCCTCCCTCCCTTTTTTGCGGGGCAAGCCTAAGTTTTAGGCCCGCATCCTTAACTATGATGGCCCGTCCCCCGCCCTATTTTTCTGCGGGCTTTTGCAGGGATGACATATCCGTTTGCCACCCCTATCTCAAATGCAACATCGATGCATTCTTTGCTAATAACAACGTAGGAATAGGAATTTGTATTAGAGATGAAGAAGGTTTGTTTATTGCAACTCGGACTGAGCGGTTTTCTCCTAGTAATGAAGTTGATGTGGGGGAAGTTTTAGGCATCTTGACAACTTTAAAATGGGTGCATAAGCTTGATTTTGATAGTGTGGATTTTGAGTTGGATGCTAAAAGCGTAGTCGAAAATATAATCACTTATTAGCTGTTTTATTTAGAAACTCTCATGTTAAGTTCGTTAGGAGACAATCTAATGAAGGTATTCATGCCTTGGCTCAAGTGACTCCATCTTTTGCTAGTTTTCAAAATTTTAATGATGTGCTAACGTATATTCAAAATTTTATTATTAATGAAATGAATTAAGCATTTTTCCTATAAAAAAAAAATAAATTCCAATCACTAATTTATTTTATTTTTGCTAGTTGAAATTCATTTATTAAATATAAATAAATAAGATGTAGCAAGTTCCAATACACATCCATATAATTTAATATCCATGTACCGTTATCAACGGATCAAACTTTACAAACAATCATTAATCTAGTAGATCAAAAGACTTAACGACAATCATTAATCTACTAGATCAAAAGAAAAAAATAATTATAAATTTTTAATAGAATAATATATCTCTGTAAAAAAAAATAGAATAATTTATTATTTTGACTTATTCATTATTATCAAAATTTAAATGGATTTTTGTCTGTTTCTTTTAAGTCTCACTTTTTTGATAATTTTTTTTCTTCTTTTAATTATTACTTGCAAAATTCAAGAGAGTATTACTTGCATTTTTGTTACAATTACCCTTATGCATTTATTATAGAGAAAAAAGAGTAAATTGAATGTTGAAAATAATTAAAAATATTATAAATAAAAGGAGAATTGTTATTTGAAAAATAACAATATTATTAACTTTCTTAATATATATAAAAAGTAAAAAAAATAACACTTAAAAAAAATATGGAAGGAGTATTATATAATCCATGAACAAGTACTCAACTTTTGTAATAGGTATTTAACCGTTTTTCTAGTTATAAAGTCATATTTGATAAAAAGCAGCACAGAGGCAGATTCAATTCAGCGAAAAGAATTAGATTTCTGTTAATAAATCTGAATAGACAAACAAAAAATAAACATTTTATTTGGATTTGATTTCGGATGGATCAGTATGCAATCTACGCATCCAATAACGCAACAGATAAGGACGAGTTGTCACTTTTAATTGAATTTGTGGGTTTTTTTTTTTGGGTTAAAATTACAATCGAATCTGTAATTTTGTGGGTGGGAAGTTGTAAACTAGTATAAAAAACCTAACTTTAGAATTTAATTTTTGAATTAAATCAAAGCAAACTTAATTAAAAATTCTCACTTTTACATAGTCAAACATATTTTCAAGAATAAACTTTATTTAGTGAAACATATTTTCAAGAACATGTTGAAACTTGAAAGTCACTTGACCTGAAATTTAATTTATATTCACATCAAAATAAACAATAGGAAGTTTCATACACACATGTTAAATCTTGAAGGCCTATGGTGAAAAAAATTGATTACAAATAAATTGATTTTGTTTAAGAGCAACTTGAGAGTTCAAATTCTACTAAATGCAATTGATATCTATATTAAATGTTTGTTCGATTTTATAGAAGAATTGATTTTATGTGAATTAATTTTATAGAAATGTTTCGGATTAAAAATGTGTTGAATATAAAATAATTTATTTTAATGTAAAAATCACTTCAAGTTACAAATTGTAATTTCAAGTAGAATTAATTAGAGTCATAATCAATTCTACTTTAATAAAACAATCAAATATTTCAAAATCTTTCTAGAATCAATTATACAATCGTTTTTTTAAAAGTTAAATCTAACCTCCACGCCAGAATTGATTTTGACATAATTTAGTTTGGTAAAATTAACTATAAACAACAAATTTCAGTATAAAAATCACATTTAAACTAAAAAAATTATAAATTCTAATTTCAAATAAAATCATTCTAAAACACAATCAATTCTCCTTTATAATAACAAACACCTCAAAATCATTCATTCTAGAATCAATTCTACCCCTCTAATCTAAAATGCCATGGACTCTTTCAAAAGCCAAACCAAAAGAAAGTTAAGTTCAAAGCTATTCTTTAAAAAAGTGAAACTCAAAAGGCATAAATACTAACTTATTCAAAGTAGAATCAATTCTTCTACTTCACAACAATAACAACCAAACATGTCAATTCAATTGTGAACAAATATACACAGCCTCAAAACAAAGCCAAAAACCAAAATCTATCAGCCATGAAATTGAAAAACGGGTAAACTGCAATATAAAGAAACACGAATAAATCAATACCAGCCTTACTAATATTAATATCAAAATAAAACCATAACCATAACATAACAATGCTCCAACGAAGAAGCTGATAAATAGAAAACGCCTAAAAAACTCATTTAAAATAAAAAAGTTTAGATAAGAAAAACAAGAAAATTAGGGTTTGAAATTCAAACCCAAGATCTAATGGAACAATTTCCATTTGTAATCCCAATCACATTCAGTAGGTTGAAACACATTACTCAAAGAACTTCCATTCCCTGATTTCAGAGAAACCTTCAAATCACAATGAACCTTAGGTTTCGCTTTCCCCGATTTAAACAAACCTAATTTAAACCTCACATTAAGCAAAACCTTCACATCAATTCCATAAACTCCACTTTCTTTCTCCTTATCAAACTCAGGTTTCTGATCTGAACTCAACGGAATCACTTGTTCACCTTTGAAAACAGGATTCAAAAAATCCGTACTCTTATGATGCTGAAAGAATCCCCCTAGGGTTTGATTCCCAAACATAACATCTTTATAAAACGCAAGCGTTTCGACGTTATCGTAATAGATTCCGACTCTTCGGTTAGGGTTTCGGATGGTGATGTTGACGGCGAGATCGTAGTGAAGTGTGTTGTTGGTGGTGAAATTGAATTGAGTGAGGGAAGCATCGGTAACGGTGAAGTGAACGACGTTAGGACGGACGATGAGCCAGAAGAGGAAGCCGAGGATGACGGCGATGATTATGATTGTGGTTAGGATTTTGCAGATTATGCTTAAGATGCAGTTGAAAATGCAGCCGCAACAGCCGCGGAAGCAGCCGCAGAGACAGCTGCAGAAGCCGCAGCTGCTGTCGTTGCGGTGGCGACGGTGGGGTTGCTGCGGCGGCGGGATGGAAGGGCCGTAGTAAGCGCCGTTGAGTTGATTGGACATGATTGGAGAGAAAAGCGATTATTAATTAATTGATTCAAATTATTTCGAAACGTTGGTAGAGTGATTGAAAAATATATATATTAAAAAATTAACGGAAGAGGGGTATAAAAGGAATTCTGTTATTAGGTTGTACTAACGTAAAGTTTGTGCGGTAATGTAGTGCGAACGGAATAACTAGATTTGGTAGAACGTGTTGAGAATTGGAATGGATTAAACAGAATAAGTGCGTTAAGTGATAAAATTTCAACTGAAACGGAAACCACTTATATTTTTAGGGAAGGAAGAAGAAAAATTGTGTTGGTTTTTAAAACAGATTTTCGATTATTTTTGTTAGTGGGTTAATTAATCGTGGTTTATAGTAGTAATCAAATTAGTTAATTAATCGTGGTTTCAAGAGTTATTGGCTATTGGGTTGGACTAATCTTTATGATGCAGAATGGAAAGATATGCAATATAATTAATAATAATAATTTAATTTAATTTAATTAAATATGTTTGTAACTACTCTAAATATTTGAAACTCTTAAAAAAATTTCTTTAAAATATCAGTTTTTAATATTTTTCATTCATACTTTTCATGGAGCATAATACATGTTATTTACTCGTAGCAATAATGTTAAAGTGACAAACATGTTAATATAGATGTCGATTGATATTTTGTCATTATTTCATATTATTTATAGGGTTTAAATATACATCTTTTATAATATAGATGAAATTCAGTTTATCTTCAATAATTTTTTTCTGATTCTCATTTAATATATATTTTTTTGTTTTATCCTCTCTAAATGTGCAATTTAAACACTGAATGTGGAGTAAATAAAAAAAAATTATCGAGAATAATTTTAACATTTAGGGGATAGAAAACACATAATTGTAACATTTTAAAAGATTCAATTTTTTCTAAGAGGGTAAGTCGAAACTCGTTATATTGCAGGAGTGTTGTATATTTAACTCTTATTTATATCAATTAAAATTATAATGATGGAGATTTCACCGTTAAATTCGTCGCTAATATGAACATCATACAAAATTTCAAAAATCATAACTAATTTTTAACTAAAAATTCTTTTTTTTTTTAAGAAAGTTTGTCAAATTATAAAGATCTCTCGCAAAAACTTGTAAAAAACTTATTTGAGATTAATTAAATATGAATTTTTTTTAACACCAATTTTTCATGAAACAAAAGCATAAAAATGTTTGTATATGATTGAATTTTCTAACTAATTTTTTGAAAAAAAAAATTATATCGAATACATGTAAATGTAAAAAAAATTTAAAAGTGTCTATCCTAAAAGATCCTTTAAATTAATTAAATTTGATATAAGATTCATTTTGACCCACATAAATGTAAAAGTTTTTTAAAGGGGGAAATAAGACTAATATCTATATGATTTTTAAGATCTTTTATTTTATAATTTTTTAATAAAAAATATATAACACTTTAAAAAAAAAAGATTAATTTCTATATGTTGCTTTTTAGGGAAATAATTTCTATATGTTGAATGTGTAATTTAATTCACATAATAAATCCAATTAAATAATGGTGATAGAAAGTTCTTCATTTTTATTGATGTATTATTTCCTTTGTTTATACTTACTCGTTAAGTAATCTTTTTTTTTTTTTGTTAAATTTTTTATTTTTACAAATTTTAATTAATTTTTATAATTAGCACTATCAAAATTTTATTAATTATTTATGGTGATAGAAAGTTTGATCATTTTAATAAATTTGAAGTATCTAATATATTATTCATTACATGAATTTATCTAAGATGGAGAATATACTAAAATTGTACCAGCTAACTTTTTTTTTAATGAAACCTCACATTGAAAGAATTTTTTTTATAAAAATTAAGAGATAAAGTAACAAACTTTTAAAAAGTAGACATTCTTAATCTATTTTGTACAAATTTCTTCCTAATGTCTATAGGAATGGAATAAAAAATGTGAAGGAATTACAATTTAGGTATAAGTTTGTCATTAAGTCCGCACAAGACTTTTTCTCTATATAAATGTGTGAAATAAAAAGGTGTTGGTGTGCAAAGAACGATATACATCTGGTTCAAATTGCTTTGACTTGCTAAAGGGGTCAAGGAAGGCTTGTGAAAAACTCGCACCACATTTGAAGAATCCATTTTTATCCATAATTTAACCCAACATCTATTTATATATATCTGCATAGATCTAATGACTGGCATGAATTCTGCCAAGAAAGAAGAAGACCAGGTGACCACGTATGCAAAAGCAAGAACAAAATTGCCCTTTTCAATTTCGGAAGATACCAGCACAACCTGCAGGAAGCATATCATGGTTGTATGTGCCATCACAATTACATTTCATCCAATCCATAAGTGGATGGTGCCACAAAACATCTGTGATTTAAGAAGATTTTGAAACCAAAGCCAAACCTTCCTAGAAAATGAACATTCGAAGAAAATATGCTAAAGGGACTCAATTTCCATCTTACAAAGACTGCAAATGGATGTTATGCTAAAACCTCTAAGGCAAAAATTGTCATCAGTTGGAAGCTTCTCTAGCATGAATTTCCAAATGAAAATTGTCTTTGAGGGAGGTATATTTGGGCTCCAAATAGCTTTTTCCCAATGTTGAGGCATGAAAGGGGCTTTGAACTTATAGGTGTCCTTTCGAGTGAGGACACCTGAGTGATAGAGAGGCCAGTAGAAGGTGTCATCCAAATCATTGTTGAGCAGGAGATTTTGGTTCATCCTTTGCAGGAGAAAAGGGAAAAGAGAGCTCTAAGTGATAGGAAGAAGCCATGCACCATTAGAGATGAAATCTTAAGTTTAGTGCTTGTGTATATTCCATGGTTTTGAACAGCTTTAATATTAGTTTCCAAAATAGAGGAGGGCCATACCAACTGTCCATCCATAAATTAATTGATGAACCTCTTCCTAAAGACCAAGTACAATGGTTGGTTAAAGTGTTTAAGTCAGTTTTAATGGTTGACCACAAAGAAGAAACACATGATATTTTATTGTTCCATGGTGCTTAAAAACTCTAGCATTGAGAATAGTTGACCAAGATTCCATGCTTGTGGAAGATACCATCCAAGCACCAAGTTGGTAGCCTCATTAAGCCTCAATAGGGATATTACACCTATCCCTCCATGAGATTTAGGTTTACACATCTTGTTCCAAGCAACCATGACTAGATTCTTATTTCTAATACCCCCACTCCAACTAAACTTTCTAATAGTTTTTTCTATGTCTCTTAACAAAGCAACAAGCCAGGAATAAAAGGTAATAGTATGGGTTAGCATTCCTTGAATGACTATTTTCACCAAGCACATTCAGCCAACCATAGACAGAGTGAAACCCTTCTAAGTAGATAATTTACCAATGATCCTATCATCTATAGGCCTGAGGTAAGATGCTTTAGTTTTCCCTTTGAAAATAGGCATTCCAAGGTACATGAAAGGCATAGCTCATCTAATGAAACATGTCATGTTGACAATGTGATGCACCCTAGAGGTGTTGATTGAGCTAGGGTATATGTAGGATTTTGTGGGGTTAACTAACTGACAGGAGGCAAGAGAGTACCTCCTGAAAAGATCAATCATAGCTTTAATGTTGGATATATTGGCTTTACAAAAAAAATAGAATTCCATTTTCATACATTACATGTTAAATAATGAAAATATTGTTGCTTCTCTTGATCAATTTCAGAGTGTCTTCATCAACGATTTTGGTCAGACTTCTACTTATAATCTCCTCAGCTAGGTAAAACAGAAGAGGGGAAAGGGGGTTCCCTTGTCTGACCCGTCTCTTGTAGTTGAAGAAACCATTAGAGGATCCATTGATTGAGATGGAAAGGAAAGATGAAGAAAGGATGCTATGAATCCAATTACATAAAATAGAGTTGAAACCAACATTTTTAAGGGCATGCAGAAGAAACTATAAGCGAATATCATCAAAGGCTTTGGTAATATCCACTTTGAGAACAATGTTGCCACCAAAGGTTTTGTTATCCAAATGATTAATGTACTCTAAAGTAGTACAAAATACAATCGTTTATGCACATTCCTTTGATGAAACCTCTTTGCTCAAATAAAATTAGAGTAGGCATGAAGATAGCAAGCCTAGCAGCAATTATCTTGGTTATGATCTTGAATTTGAAATTAGCAAGAGCAATTGGCCTGAAACTGTCCATAGTATATATTTTTACTAAATAATATAGTAAAATCTAAATGTACTATTCTAATATAATTATTTAAAATAAATGTCTGATATTTAGAAAAAGAAAAGAGAGCATAAAAATGAGTGAGGGTACTATAACTCACTCAGAAGGATATAAATCTTAAAAAAAGGAAAATGTAAAATGTTTTGCAATGTCATTTCTAATATCCAAAGAAATAGATTTAAATAATGTGCGGAAAGTATATGTGAGACCTATATTAAAAAAATGCATGGTTATTCCCTCACTATATATGTGAGTAATCATAAAAGACATAGATGAAATAAAAAACAAATGCAAGTTTTTCATTTGTTTCTTATCTTATAATGAACTAAGGAGATTGCCTTAAAAGTTTTGACCACCAGGAATGAATGAATCAATTTCACTTCAAAGTTTATACCAAGAATCACCAGTTACTATTTTAATGGCTTTCAATACTCCATTGAACTCAATAAGGAAAAAGCCTCTCCAAGACAAACTATCTAAGACTATTCCTTAAAATTCCACAATAGGCAGCAAAAATGATATTTTAAACATAAGCTGCATCTCAATTGCACTTGATGTAACTATTTAAAGGATTATGTCAAACCACTTCCTTAATCATTGGAGCATGAAGAGGATGAATGGTGACATTAAATGCTTTTAAAATTTAAAAATCAAACATATAAACCCTAGTTGTGAGTTTGGACTTGTTTTCAACCAATTCGACTTGAGGCGGAATTTGAGAAATGATTAGATGAAGAGTGGTGGGAAGATTCTTGGAATGAGTCATGTTCATATACGACCCAATTTCATTGATAATG